GTCCCCCTCCATCACTTTTTCTTCTTTTTTTTTTTTTGATGGGGGGTGGGAGGAGGCAATTAGGTTTGTTTGTTTGTTTGTTTACCATGGAGATACTGGGGATTGAACCCAGGACTTTGTGCATGCGCTCCACCCCTGAGCTATACCCTCCCCTCTCCAATTTCTTGTTTGTAGGAAATAGGCTTCATTTAGCCTCCTTCATCTTCCCTGGGTTCAAGAGTCAAACATTTGCTTAACAGGGAAGGGAGGAAATGCAGAAACAAAGGAGGAGCAAGTCAAGAAACAACAGTGCAGCATGGGGCAGGGTCCTGGCTCCTCCTCAAGGAATAGACTTAACAATACCTTTGAGTTCTTCTGCAGGAACTAAGGCCCCCACCCAGGCGGATGACGGTAACTTCAGGCTGAGCACAAGATTCCTGGAGCACCGCCCTGTTACCTCACCACCAGCCAATCAGAAGAACGTCGGCACACAGTGGAAAATTCCAATTCCTTCCCCAGACGATTAACTGCAATTAACTTCTCCTTTCTCCCTTTAAGAAATTTCATGATCTAGCAGAATCTTCGGAGTTGGTTCTTGGACATGAGTCTACCTTCTCCCCAGACTGCCGTCCTCCTGTATAACAAACAGTACTCGTCTCTTGAGTACTGGCCTTGGAGCAGCGAGCAGCCAAACCTGAGTTCGGTAACACCAAAAATCAAGACAAGAACCTGACGTGCCAGCACCCGGATCAAAGATTTCTAGCCTCCAGGACTGTGGGAAATACATTTCTGTTGTTAAGCTACCCATTTTTAATTTTTTTTTCACAGCAGCCCAAGCTGATTAAGACACCTCGTAACAAAGGGACCAGTGAGATCCTAAAATTCAGAGTAAGAATTCGAGATCCAGAGTTAATGATCAAGTGACTCTGAGCTCTGCCAGCTGCACCCACCAGCACATGCGGATGCCAAGCTTAAGCCTAGGGCAATCCCACAGTGGCCCAGCTATATTTTTAACAGATTTTTAATAGGAATGTAATTTTCATGGAATGAGGAGAGGGCATGGGCAACCTTGCCTGCCTATCTCAATAAGGCTCCTAGTTGCCGTCTCAAAACATTAAATCTCAAATATTAGAATTTTCAAAGTTTTAGAGATTGATTTTTTTAACACTGATATTCATAGGGCAGCACAATGAACTGTATAAATTCTGTGACTATAATAAAGGCTATTTAATATACTCCAGCTTGTGCATTCTTCAAAATAGGTCATTCTATCTATAGAATGAAATGTTTTGCAATAATTCAGTTTCAAAGAGAAAAGAGCATGGAGTCATCAGCCCAGGCAGACTCTACTTAGAAGCGTTCAGTTTCTCTGATAACCAGAGTTCACTGCCATCAACGCCGTCATCCTCCCAGCTAACTTGACAACAAATGGTCTGGAAAACTTGTGATTCCACCTGGTAAATGCCAAAATCTCATTTTGAACTTCTTTGGATGACAGTATTTCTCAAATATTCTACAATTTCCTGACTTACAGATAAGGCATGTTGTACAAAATGCAGCCGCTTCGTTTTTACATAATTTCATGAGAGGCTCATATTTATTACAGAAAAAAATCCAAAAACATAGACTAGAAAAAAAATTATAGCCCAAACACACAATCGCACACACACATTTTTCTTTAAACCAAAACAGAGTTCTGTATAGCACAGGGAGCTATATTCAATATTTTGTAGCAACCTATAATGCAAAAGAATGTGAAAACGAATATACGTATGTATATGGATGACTGAAACACGATGCTGCACACCAGAAAATGACACAACATTGTAAACTGACTCTACTTTGACAACAATGGCAACAAAACAGGACTGTTTGCTGTATGTCAGGAACATATCAGCAACATCTCTTCATACCAATGAAAGCACTTGCGTTTCAACATTTCCAACAGCTACGGGGCACTATACATACGGCAGAACCTTAGTTATTTAATGCATCCTACTCCTGGGCACTGAGATTATTTCCCACTTTTCTCTATTAGGAGTAAAACCTGCAATTAAAATTCCTAGACCTGAGGCTGTGTGCATATAATTTCTCATTTTCTTAGGGGACATTCTCAGAAATAGTATTTCTGGATTAGAGGAAAAAGTTCTTTTGAAATCTTTTAACACATACTGCAAACCTGCCCTTTCTAAGGACATCCGCCTTCGCCAGTCCTGTCATCCAACCTTCAGTTACGGATTCTGGGTTAAAAGGAGGAACTCCCATGGGCAGGTAATACGGGGTGCTCTCCAGGGCTCCTGAAGTCACTGGCTCTTGATTCAGCTCTCTCTTCGGAATCAGCCTCACCCCCTCTCCTTCCTACCCCAGCCACTACGGGGGGTCTGTTCTAGAACCAAAGCCCTGCTCCCAGCCCCTAAGATAAGCTTTCCCCAAATGTGCAGTGGGCCCCTTCTGATAGTGGCTTAAGAAAGTTTAGCATAACCTTGGGTCAGAAATGATATTATCACGAAAAAAAACAGACAAAGAAATGTGAGGGCTCAGGATAAAATGGTATTGAACACAGAAGTCGCAGCTCTAGTCTGCACAGAGACTTACATTACTAATAGAAATCATTACTTTCATCGCCTGTTTTCTCAGAATTTGCTCCAAATGTCTGACATTTTT